TTATACAGCAAACATTATACACGACGTTACTAGGCATATTTGAGTGAATTAGCCCTGCAGTACACATCCCATTATGTGAAGGGTATTCGGTGCCAAGGTCGGGGCCCGGTGTCGGATAAATACAAAGTCCTGGGTCTTCCAACATGAAATATGGGCAGCAGTCTAACTAAAGTAACCTGTATCGATGCCATCTGTTCCGAAGAAACCAGCGGTGGACGAGGCATATAGGGTGGCCTGTGGATTACTTATAAGTGTTTTATCTGCCCTGTTTGGCCGTAGGTTCCAGGCTGCGTCTTCGTACGCATGTGTACCGTACACATCGTGTGGGAGCGTGCCAATCACTGACACACCAAGTACACACCACGGTCTAGCACATTCACGCCATTCGTCGCAATTGAACAAGCTGCCTGAACCTGTGTACCGTGGCCTGTGGTGATAGGGGGCAGTGTGGGCCATTCATTCGCTACTGACTTTGCATAGCACTGTGAGTTTTAGGGTTTAGGGTTTTATGGTCTAGGGTGAGAGTCAGTTAGTAAGACTCAGCCGAGTATTCTCACTATACCGTTCGAGTGTAGTACACGGACTAGGGCGCGGTAGAATCTGTGTGCCCCAGCCTCGATGGTGTCTGAATTATTCAACGCGTTTGGAACGTGTCTGACCCACCCTCCGCATACGGACGTTTCGCGGTAGTAGGTACAACCCCAGGCTGTATATACATATTGCATTCATTCGCATGGATGGCACGTAGTGTGGGGACTCGGGGCTCAACGTTTAAAGAAGCAAAACGTTTGTCGTTAGTTGCGCAACCGTTGAGTGTAATGAGCAGTCGCTGATTGTGATGACTGAGGCGGACATGTCGTTCACATCGTTGACTTGGCAGATCGCGCGTCCTTGGAGGTGGATACAATGCGTTAACCAATAGCGTTGTTGTGTGGAAAACTCGATAGCCAATACGTTCACCAATAAAATTGTTGTATGGATAACTTAATAGCCAATACGTTCACCAATAACATTGATGTGTGAATAAATCAATAGCCAATACGTTCACCAATATCATTGATGTGCGGGTTACCCAATAGCCAATACGTTCATCAATAAAATTGTTGGATGGATAACTCAATAGCCAATACGTTCACCAATAACATTGATGTGCGGGTTACTCGATAGCAGGACATGTATAGCCGTACCCGGATTCGTTTTGAATCACACTCCAAGTTTGAGGTTTTACACTCCAACTGCCTTCATCGGATTATGCCGCTAAGTCGGCCCGAACTACACCGGCCCTCGGCATATGCAATCTTCTAATTTTATTCAGAAGCCGTTGACTGATTGCTATATTGGTCATTCTGGTATCCTCCCAGTTGATATTGCTTACGTCCACGTGCACACCATCTTTGGTATAGGGACTCCATGCGTCAGTGTATCGTTACTTGCAGATGTATGTCAACGGCACATTCGTACCGAACTTCCCAGCTCGCGTGGCGGTTCCCAAAGGCTGTGACAAGCTCAGAAGCTCAGTATACACGTGACACTCTCTCTATCGCACTACCAGTTCACGGAGTATATCCACCAGACTCACCACGCCCACCGGTAATGTTTTCTCGTCTACCACAAATAATCTGTAGCAATGGTGGTGGGTCAGACAGCAGGGCTCGTCAGGGTTTTGGGGACGATTCTGCCGATATCTCTTGTAACACACTACTACTAACCCCACCCCTCTTGTAACACACTACTACTGCCCTCACCCCTCTTGTAACACGCTACTACTAACCCCACCCCTCTTGTAACACACTATACTACTGCCCCCACCCCTCTTGTAACACACTACTACTATACCCACCCCTCTTGTAACACTCTACTACTATACCCACCCCTCTTGTAACACACTACTACTACCCCCACCCCTCTTGTAACACACTACTACTACTCCCTCCCCTCCTCCGTCAGCCTCACAAATCTATTGGCACGTACGTTCAACGGCTGAGCTTCTTATTAGTACACACGCGTGTAGATTAAGTACAAGTCAGTACGTACAAATGGGCATACCCATACAGATACGAAGGGGAGATCTATGTAAACAAGCTTGCCAGCGAATGCACACACACAGCAACGTACTCAACGACTGAAGCATCGTACCTGTGTACCCTTGCGGCTGCAATCTTATTGACAATCGCTGAGAGCTTATCGGTCAGTACAACGCTGATGGCGGGGTGTTTGTCCTAAAAATACCCCAAATAGACAAAAAGTCATGGTACGTTAGATAGAGTCTTGGTGCGTTAGATAGTCTTGGTACGTTAAATAAAGTCTTGATAGGTTAGAAAGAGTTTTGATACGGTAGATAGAGTCTTGGTACGTTAGATAGAGTCTTTGTACGTTAGATAGAGTCTTGGTACGTTACATGGTCTTGGTACGTTAGATAAAGTCTTGGTACGTTAGATAGTCTTGGTCCATAAGATAGAGTCTTGGTACGTTCGATAGTCTTGGTACGTTAAATGGAGTCTTGGTACGTTAGATAGAGTTTTGATACGGTAGATAGAGTCTTGGTATGTTAGATAGCGTCTTGATATATCAGATAGTGCCTGGTATAGTTAGATAGAGTGTGATAATACCGTTACTTGCAAGCCACTTATTCAATGCACAAACCATGCGACCATTGACTGTAGTGACGGCTCAAGAGTGGGGCTCCAGATGAGCTATGGGATAGCGCATCGATCAACACGCGAGTGTGAGATACCAGCGCAGCAGACGTATACTAAAGGGCTTAGTGGCATGTACATGTGAACGGCAATATACAAAAAACTGGCTCAATACTACATGCACACTCTCAGGGAATGCAGGACTGTTGACTAACATCTCTTACATACGAATACGACCCACGAATAGCTGGCTGGGGTACTGTAGGTGGTGTCCTTATAGCTCACCAACCCGATACACACGAATGGTTTATAAATGCTAAAGACTGATAGATAGACTGTACATACGAATGGTTTACAAATGGTAAAGACCGATAGACTGTACATACGAATGGTTTACAAATGGTAAAGACCGATAAATAGACTGTACATACGAATGGTTTACAAACTAAAGACCGATAGATAGACTGTACATTGAATGGTTTACAAATGCTAAAGACCGATAGATAGACTGTACATACGAATGGTTTATAAATGCTAAAGACCAATAGATAGACTGTGCATACGAATGGTTTACAAATGATAAAGACCGATAGATAGACTGTACATACGAATGGTTTACAAATGCTATAGACCGATAGATAGACTGTACATACGAATGGTTTACAAATGCTAAAGACCGATAGATAGACTGTGGTGTCCACCCATTTACCTCGAGACTCATGCTGGATATTAGGTTGAGGTAGGAGCGAGCCGGGAGTATCAGGCGGTTTAATTCAACGCCGTCGTTTACGGCAATGCCCTGTTGGAGAAAGGTTTAGGTTAACACTATCACATGCAACGAAGGCTCCAATGTAGGTAGAGATTCATGAAAGAGAATGATAGGGTTTGTGACTACGATCTACTACTGTACGTATACACTGGAGTACGAATGCAGCATTGCAAAATATATGTGTGTACAAGGAATAGTCACTGAAGTGTTACAAATGCATGCTAATGAGATATAAATTAGGAATCGTTCAGATAATATGTATTTCGAGTATATTGAATACATACGTACGTAACTATGTATATATTAAACACACATATACATATACGTATTATAACT